CAAACAACTAAATGTGCATCGAATCATGTTTTTGATAGATGGGATACACCGATCCACGTGGATGCGGCTAGCGGAGGATTCATCGCACCATTTTTGTATCCGGAATTGGAATGGGACTTTAGATTGCCGTTGGTGAAGAGCATAAATGTGAGTGGTCACAAGTACGGGCTTGTGTACGCAGGAATTGGTTGGGTGATTTGGAGAAACAAAGAGGACTTGCCTGAGGAACTTATCTTCCATATCAATTATCTTGGTGCTGACCAACCCACTTTTACTCTCAATTTCTCCAAAGGTAATTTACTTAATATTTATAACCCCTAATTATTATCTAGTTTATTTAGTCGAGTCTTTTTTTTGTTTGACTTTTTACAACTCATGAGGCAAACCATCAACGTGATGGAGGTCAAATTTTTCTTTCCATTTCAATATACGGAAAAAGTCACTTGACTTCATATTCATTTCGTTTCCTACTCTTATTTTTGTAACGTCCGTATATTAAATATTAGTAGTTGATGATCATTAACGTGGTGGAGCAATTGAAGTCAAACTTTTTTCCATTTAAATAGGGAAACGTCACCTATATTCTTCCCCATTTTGTTTGACTTTGCATATTTTAAGAAATCGCTCGTAATGAACTTCAAAGTGATGGAGGTCAAATTTGTTTCCATTTTAAAATAAGGGAAAACGTAATTACGTTGTCGTATTAGAAGAAGTCTGAATATTTCTCATATAACTTCTAAACACTGAAACTTGTTTATTTTATTAGTTATGTATATATTCAGTTTATATAGCACCAATCACTTGTTATATTTTGTTCATTGACATTCTTCTCTCTAAACGCAGGTTCGAGTCAAGTCATAGCTCAATACTACCAACTTATCCGATTGGGATATGAGGTGAGTTGGTCCACGATTATAAATTTCTATCTTATGCTAGTTGATTAGAGACATTACTTAATAATTAAAATGTATCAAACAGGGTTATAGAAATGTGATGGAGAATTGCAGAGAGAATATGATCGTGCTGAGGGAAGGACTTGAGAAGACAGAAAGGTTCAACATCGTATCAAAGGACGAGGGAGTGCCACTTGTCGCTTTCTCCTTGAAAGATAACAGCTCTCACACTGAGTTCGAAGTCTCCGACATGCTTCGCAGGTTAGTTGTCTTAACTAAGAAGATTTCAAATATTAGATCTTTTTTGTTTAGAAGCTTGCATTGTGTTTCTGGTAGGGATTATAAATTGGTTACATATTTTTGTTTTTAAATTGGTCTGATTAGCTAGCCGTACGTAACTCAATTCTTAATCGATTAAATTTTCAATAATCGGTCACATCAGTTAGTAGACTTATTTTTCCGATTAAGTAATTGATTTTGTTTAGCAGGAATTGGAATAAAAACAAAACCAATTTTTATTAAACTTCTTTATTGTTTGAAAAAAATAAAAATTTATTCAGTAGAACAAAATGTTAGTACATGAATGATGTTTAATGATTATTAACATATTCCCTAGCAGGTCGGATTAGAATAATTATTTTAAATTTCGCAAACTTGTTTTTGACCTTATTGATATTCTAGTTATATACAAGATTAGTAAAATAAGTGTATGATAAAAAAAAAGTGTATGATGTACCTATTATTAATGTCTCTATAACATATTTGAAATGTAGGTATGGATGGATAGTGCCGGCCTACACAATGCCTCCAAATGCACAACACATCACTGTTCTTCGAGTGGTCATCAGAGAAGATTTCTCGAGAACACTCGCAGAGAGACTTGTGATTGATATTGAGAAAGTGATGTGTGAGCTAGATGAGCTTCCATCTCGAGTGATGCACAAAATTTCACTAGGAGAAGAGAAGAGTGAAGCTAACAGTGATAACTTGATGGTTACAGTGAAGAAAAGCGACATGGATAAGCAGAGGGAGATCATCAAAGGCTGGAAGAAGTTTGTTTCCGAAAGGAAGAGGACGAATGGTATCTGTTAATTGAATATTTTAATGAAAATGTTTGAAGACTTTATTAATAATGCAATTGCATTCATTTGGAGATTTGAAGGTTTTATTTCCTTGTTGCTTTTTTTTTGAAACTATTCTTCCTTTGTTGTTGTTGAACCAAGTTCCATTTTATTTTGATTTGTAGTATCGTTTGATCTTTGCAAACGTTATGAAATAAGTTTGTGTTTTATGTCTGGGACACTGTGATCGAGTGGTAAATAGACAGGATTGGGACGCCAATACGTTCCAGATTCGATCCACCTGCTATGCGAAACTAAATCACATTATCCTGGACATCCACATGGATATGGGCCCTCGCTTCCAACCCATTTGAATATCCGGAGAGAGAGCTGCACCTCCCCCAAAGATTAGTATGGGCTATAAGTTTGAAATTTACCCTCAGTTATAAAAAAAAAATTGTGTTTTATTATGTTTGTCTCTACTTCATCATCCATCATATATGATCTCGTTGATATTTTAATTCTATTTCGTAAGCTGACAGACCCAAATTTGAGATTCTCGGGCCCTATTCAAAAAAATTATTAACATTTAAGTTTTTTAAAAAACAAAACCTAATTTTCAACAACAATACATTCATGTTTTCTAGTATTCATGTTTTCTTATATGAAATAAAATCATGAGAAAACCTATTTAATATTTTTATTTTAATCATATAATCTCATAAAATATTTGGTCCCACAAAAAATTATGTATGCTTTTTTAGCACTTTATTTTATTAAAACTGATACAAATTAGATTACATCATTGAAAAAGTTCAACAAATAAAATACAAAGAGAAACTAATAGTTCTTTCCGCACCAAAAATCAAGTGAGGATAATAATTATTGACGACAAAATAGCAATACCAAGATGATCTTGTTTCGAATCAAAAGTAGACAATTAGGTGTTTCCGAATCCACAATTGTAGCCGGACTTCCAAAATCTATTAAAATAACATGATATAATTCTCATAATATAGATAAATCTTCTTCTTTGACTGCCTTTTGTCAATTTTGTTTTGAGTTAGTTTCAGTGAAGCCGTCGTGGAACACGTTTAAACTGCAAAACTTAAGTGAAAGAGATAGCCAAAATTGACTAGAAACTAAACATAGATTTTCTACGAAAGAAAAAAGTTCAACTAAAAACTTCACCCAAAGAAACTAAACTCAATCAAAAGAATCACAAGAACTCATAAAATCCAAACGGCGAATAACATCGCATCGTCTTCTGGACAAAAACACTTGGACATCCTCTAGACTTCATGTCGGACATAGAAACTACTAGTTTACAAATATTCTCCCTCTCATTATGCCGGCAAAAGCACCGGACATCAGAGAGGGAGTAAATTCAAATCACATTTTTTTCTCTCCTTTTGTTTCGGACGGCTATTTCATTAAATCTTCATTTTTTCATTAAATCAAATTTTTTTTTTTAAAACTAAGCATATAATTTTCTTTTTAAAATAAATAGGGCCTCTTGGAAGTGGAGACCCACTCAAATGTTTCAAAAAAATATATTTGAAATCTGGCCCGTAGGTAGATAATATATAATTGGATAAATACTTTATTTTTGTTAAGAAGTGTCTAAAAAACCAACTTATCTGATAAACTAAATTCCAAACTTGAAATTGATTAAGATATAATCATTTTTTATATCTTACAAATTTGAAACCAAAATTTTCAAATATACTATTTGTTCTTTGGGCCTTGGGAGTAAAACAAAATATTGGGCTAATAGAGTTGTTAAATATCTTAAGGTAAATTTTTTTAAAT